TGTGAGAGAGGTAGGGGGAGAGGGGAGGAAGCAAAAGTGTGAGGAATGGGATAACCATCCCACAAGTTTCTTGTGGGGCTCCACTTGTTTTTACTGTTGGTTGTTTGCTGGGCACTGTTTGGGATGTAAAGATGACATGGTCCCTCCTTGCTGGTTTTCATTCAAAGGCTTTTGCATTCTGTGTCTGAAACATTTTGTCGGATACTCTGGTTTCGTATAGCAGGATCTCTCGTATTTAGCAAAGTGCACTAGGTTTCCTGCATCATCATTAGCTTCTCTAGGATTGTACGTGTGCTGACTCGATAAAGAACAAAATTACCGGAGCCTGGCTTCAAGTTTCCAAAATATATACACGAGCCCTTTATTGAAAGGAACTCCATTTAAGACAGGGAAGGATAGAAGCCCGGTGGCATTCTACTCTAGCTGTCTAGCTTTGGTTGGGAAGGCAGGAGAGTGTCTTGCTCCCATGCTGCCAAGATGGAGATGGCCACATGTGTGTGTGAGAGAAGGGGCAGTGCCAAGAAAGGAAGGAAGGAAGGAAGGAAGGAAGGAAGGAAGGAAGGAAGGAAGGAAGGAAGGAAGGAAGGAAGGAAGTTTTCCCTGAGAGATACAATCTACATATCAAAGGACAATAGTAGAGCTGAAGACAGGAAGGACATTCTGTGTTTGCCTCTCTCTCTCTGACTCTTTTGTATGCCCCCCTCTGAACACTGAAGCTAAGAGACAGCGCCAAGGACTTTCTCTTCCAACACATTTGCCTGCTGTTGTGTCCTGGGAACCGCCACCAGGCGGTGGCCAGGCATGCAGAGCTTGATTCCTAAAGAACAATAGAGGCTAGGCTCCTAAGGTCCAATAGGGGAACCAATAGAAACCTTGGCGGGAGATTCAAACCCCCCAATGGGATCCAGGGGAGTTCCCTTGGATATGTATATAGTTGGCCACCAGCCGTTTCTCTTTGTCTTTTGTAGTGTGAAGTACTGAGTAAACGCGTGTTCCTTATGTCGTTGTCCGAGTCGTGATGTATCGAACTGAGTACTTTACACCTGCGATTACATTAGTCATACCCTTGAACACATGAAGCTGTCATACTGTATCAGACCCTTGGTCCATCAAAGTTAGTCTTATCTACTCAGACTGGCAGTGGCTCTTCAAGGACTCAGGCAGAGGTCTTTCATATCACTTACAGCCAGACATTTTAACTGGAGACACCAGGGATCCAACCTGGGATCTTCTGCATGCCAAGCAAATGTTCTACCACTGAGCTACAGCCCTTCCCAAGTATGCTTGCATAAGATTGTTTTGCAATTATTTCCTGGCAGGTTCTCACTTTCTTCTTAGGAATTATCTCCACTTTAGGGATGGCACCAGCAGATAAGGAACTGGTATAACAGCTAAAGCGTAAAATATTACTTAGGCATAAAATGTTACTTGCCTGCAGACCTTTGGCAACTATTAAGTGGTTGATCAATAGAGCACTGAGAACCACAGCAGCACACTGATCCTCTGTTGGAGGGGTTTGCTTTCCCAGACTGGAAATTCCAGCACTTGTCTCAGTTCATCCGTCATTGACTTCTGGCATTATGTATTGCATAACAACAACATAAGCAAAGCATTGTGTCTGGGGACTAGCAGTAGACCCGTGGAAGAGAACCTGCTTTGCAGGCTGAAAGTCCCACGTTCAGTCTTTATCCAGTTAGACTGTCTCATATTTTTGGAAAGAAGGCACCTAAGCTTGTCCACTATGCTAGAGTCCTCTCAAGTGGTCCTTGTCTGAGGTGTCTAGTCCACTTTTGCTTCTAAATTTTTCACCCCTCAGGTTCTGTTTGGATTCAGGGTAGTGCGAGTGGCAAGATCTGGGCCCTTTCCAATGAGTAGCTGGATTCCTCTGCTCAGAAAAGAATCTTGCTGCTTCTGGTGATCTAAGTCCACAGAGGCTTAATTTTGCTCACAGAAGCCCCTTTCAGA